CCGGCTCCCCGACCCAAACCTGTTACCCATCCTACACCTGCTATTCTTGATAGCGATAATAGTTTATTATAATTTACCGAGAGTCAATTTTTCCATAATATTGTACCCGGTGAACAATTAAACCATGAATATCTCTTTATAATATTTTTGTCTTTAAATTTGAATTGAAAAATTTAGGCCACAGTTCTATAATATAATTTACAAGGAATTGCTTTAGATATTTTTATTACCATTTTTTTTCTCTAACTTCTATAAAAAATCTAAAAAAATAAAAAGTATCCGTTGGGGTCACTTGGGCCCACTTAGGCCCGGGACCGACCCACTTAGCCCAGGACCATTAGTTTGTGGGCCCGATCCCGAGCCGGTTCCTACAAAAAACCCACCAAGCCTAGGCCCGCGAAGCCAGTTTAAGTTATGACCGGACCCACTTAGGACCGGCCTACGAAGCCCACTTAGGTCCGGGCCCATCCCACATGTCAACCTTACTTCTGGCTATGGTTTCTCACGTTGAGGCATTAATTTCATGGTGTATAAGGGTGAACAAACTATTTCTAGACTTGTAACCTACAATGGCATCAAATATAGAGGTTGTGGCGGAATATGTGTATCATCGCTAGTGGAACCTCGTATCATTATGTTAGTCGATGGGAAAATGGTTTGAGATTTTTTGATTTTCCAATTGATTGTTTCAGTCTATGTTGGAACGCTATACACTAAACACATTAGATAACACGTAAATCGTAAAACGAGAACTTACTTGTTCTTCGTGAAGCGGAAGCAAAAGCCTGAAACGAACCGCGACTGAAATTACTGGTCGGTGATGGTTGTCACATTGTGATGAATCACCCTCCCATATCACAGTCTAAACCCTAGTCTGATTTTAGGAGAACACTAGGCGTAGGAAAATACTGCTCAAAGTATCTTTTTTATTGTACACAAAGTGTACTTATATAGGAAATACCGTGGTTAACTAATAACCTTGTTGGGCCTTAAAGCACCCGAGTGGACCCAAAATTTTCAACATCTCCCACTCATACATTATAGGAGTGCTTATCTAGTCTGAGAAACATATTCTCATCTCATCTCCTCAATCTTTCATACAGGGAAGTAGACCGTGCGACCAGCATACTGTGAGAGCTAAGTGCTACACATCTATTAGGAGTATATAGCCTCTCGTCGATTACAAACCTACAAGTAGATCATAAAGTATACAGTACCCTAGATCATATAAATCACATTTGATATAGTCTCAAAATCTCATATATCATTATTTCTTGTATTCACAATCATAACTCATAAGTTATAACTAGTGCACCGGTGAATACAAATAAATGAAATTCCATCAATGATCTTCCTCTTCTCACGATCCCCTTAACATTAGTTTGACTCATTTTCTAGATATGCTTCGCTAGACCGAATCGGTGTACATGGTCTTTTGGAAACACACTAAGATAGCTAACATCACACTAAGTCTCAAATATCTAATTAGAGCCTATGAGGGTACAAAATCTTAAGCCAGCATAAAAGCTATGGGTCTCACACAACAATAAGTTGAGAATGGAATTATGTTAACCCAATTGGTCGATATTAGCACACATGGTATGAAACACGTGCTACAATATTTTTTTCTTTTTGTCAAGGAACGTATGTCTTTATCTCATAAAGAATGTTGTACAAATGATATTTAGACACCATAAGTATCTAAATTTGAGTTCCTTGATCTACAAAATCATATTTGACTCACATCTAGCTCACAAAGTAGGCTAGGTGAACGTTTTCCACCCTAATGACCTTATGTCATTGTTTAAGCGACATTATGATTTTAAGCGAATAGCTCTCAAATTATCCTTATGATAATTTTGCTTAAAATCATGTCTCATCTCCTCACATCAGTAAGATAAGGAGGCAGTTGCTTGTATGAGAAGGCTAACCTCTTGTCTAGCCGATATACTTATCAAAAAGAATAAAGAATGCGCATAACATTCAACAATAAAAATATGTATGTATGTAAATTAACTTAATTGATAATCAAAGAACATTAGTTTTGTGAATACGGGATAATAAATAACAAAATAAAGTATCACGAAGTCTACGCAAGCTTTGAGACCTAGTGTGTCTCACAAATGCTTCTCTAGACAAGGGCTTGGTCAATGGATCTGCTAACATATCTTTTGTAGACACAAACTTCACATTCAGTACCTTGCGCCTAACCATGTCTATCGCATAGTTATACATGATATCTATATGTTTGGTTTTACAATGAAACTTAGGGTCCTTGGTGGAGGATATTCCAGCCTCACTGTCACAGTAGACCAATACTGATTCAGTATTTTCAGCGATATCCAACAAGTGTTCCAAGAACCTTTTCAACCAAACAGCTTTTTGTGCTGCTGATGCGAGAGCCACGTATTCGGCTTCCATCGTAGATAGTGATACACATGATTATTTCTTACTACTCCATGATATTGCGCCATCACTGAGTAAGAAAACATATCCTGAGGTAGACTTCTTTTCGTCTAGATCTCCTTCGTGATCAGCATCACTCTATTTAACTAATCGCAGGTCCATGCCACCTTGGTAACAAAGGGCATAATCAGCAGTTCCCTTCAGATATCTCATGATCCGCTTTACTGCTTGCCAATGTGCTAAACCTGGGCCGATTTGATATCTACTTACCAAGTCAACTGCTTGATAGATATCAGGTCTAGTGCAAACCATAGCATACATTAGACTTCCGACTACGCTCCTACAAGGAACTCGACTCATTCTTTCTGTCTCTTTAGGAGTATTAGGACACATCTGAGTTCCCAAGGTATGGCCTTTACTGATAGGAGTTTCAACTGGGCTACTATTTTGCAAATTGAATCGTTCAAGAACTTTTCTAATGTAATTCTGTTGTGAGAGATACAATAGTTTCTTTGGACGATCTCTTGAAATCTTAACTCCAAGAATATATGCAGCTTCACCCATATCTTTCATCTCAAATTGAGATGACAACCATGACTTTATCTCGGTGATAAACTCCTTATCATTTCCAGCTATAAGTATGTCATCTACATACAATGTTAAAATTACAAGCGTGTTTCTTGATCTCGTGGTATAAACATAATGGTCTTCATCTATCATGGTAAAACCATTGGATACAACAACATTCTAAAAGCGTATATACCACTACCTTGAAGATTGTTTGAGGCCATAAATAGACTTCAAAAGTCTACAAACCTTTTGTTCGTGACCCTTTTCAATGAAACACTCAGGTTGTTCCATATAGATTTCTTCATCTAGTTCTCCATTAAGAAAGGCAGTCTTTATATCCATCTGATATAATTCAAGATCCAAGCTTGCAATAATAGCTAGAACCAGGCGAACTGAGGTAAATCGTACAGCATGCGAGAAAGTCTCTTTGTAGTCTATTCCTTTCTGCTGTGTATATCCATTCGCTACCAGTCGAGCCTTATATCTCTGAATTGTGCCATCAGCCTAGAGCTTAATTTTGAGAACCCATTTGCTCCCAATTGCTTTGTGTCCTTTAGGGAGGTCAACTAGTTCCCAAACTTTGTTGACTCTCATAGACTCCAATTCATCTTCCATTGCTTTTGTCCATTTATCCTTAGAATGGCATGAGAAAGCATCTTTTTTAGGCTCGTTTTTGTCTTGTAGGAGCATCATAAATAGTTCATCGCCTTCAACATCAAATCGTCGGTGGGGAATCTTTTTACGAGAGTCACGTCTTATTTGTGATTCATCATTGTTCCCATTTGGATCAATGTTGCTCCCACTTGGATCAAGATCATTCATCCTGCTCCCACTTAGAACAAGGCATGTGACCATCTCGCTCTCACTTAGAACAAGATCTATTTGGTCACTTCCACTAAATGTAGAAGGATTACTTTCATTCGCATCTGATGATAAAAAAGGTCTTTGATGAGAAACTAATTCATAACCTGCTAAAATTCTCCCACTCGAATGAAGTGATCCTTGTACTTCTTGATCCATTATCTCAAATAAGGTTAGGTCTTGACCTACCTCTCCCTTCTTAGGGAACTCATCCTCTAAGAATGTGGCATCTCGTAATTCAAACTCAGTTACACTCTTATTGTCTTGATGACCTATAAACACATAACCCTTTGAGGTTTCAGAGTATCTTATAAAGATACTTTTCTTTCCCCTCGGGCCCAATTTGCCATATTTGTGAGAGGAATCATGTGTATAGGCAGCACAACCCCAAGGTCTTAATTCACTCAGGTCGGGTGTCTTCCAGTCCATGACTCATATGGAGTAGTAGTAACTGATTTTGTAGGCACTCGATTAAGCACAATGGTGGCAGTAAGCAACACATCACCCCAGTAACTAATTGGGAGGTTAGCTTGTGCCATTATTGACCTAACCATTTCTAGGAGCGTTATATTTCTTCTCTCCGCAACACCATTTTATTGTGGAGTATTTGGGATAGTCAACCGATGACCTATTCTCTTTTCATCACATAAATTATTAAACTGGGTTGATAAGTATTCACAACCACAGTCAATTCGAAGAGCTTTTTTCTTCTTGTCTAATTGATTTTCCACTAAGCTCATATAGTATTTGAAGCAACTTATTGCTTTTAATTTGTAAAAAATTAAATAGACATAATTGAAACGGGTAAAATCATCAATAAATGTGATGAAATAACTTGCTCCATGACTATCCCTAATATTCATAGGCCCACAGATGTCCGAATGGACTAATTGCAAAGAATATTCGGCTTTAGTCGCCTGACCAAAAGGTTTTCTTGCAGATTTTCCAGCTAGACAATTTTCACAAGTGGACAATTTCACATGTTCAATACTGGAAAGCAAACCTTATTTTGCTAACCTTTGTATTCTTTGTTGGCCAATATGACCAAGTCTAGCATGCCATATGTTTACATCACTATCATATTTATGTAAAGAAACAAAATAGAAAAACTAGCATTATTATTAAATGAATCATAATCCAAATCCATAATAATTAAACCTCTGGTCACATGACCCAAACCAAATAAAGTTGGATCATAAGTCAACTTGGCAGAATTTCCATGACAAAACAAGTCAAATCCTAGCTTAAGCAAAACTCAAACTGAAATAACATTCCGGCGAATTGTTGGTGCAAAGAGAACATCATGTAGTATTAGGTCTCGACCACCACATAGGACTAACTTGCATGTACCGATCCCTTCAACGTCAACTTTATTGTTGGTGCCCGCATATATCCACTTTGCTCCACGTGAAACTCGCCGAAATTCAACAAAGATAGTGCGTTCCCATGCTGTGTGGTCTATTGCTCCTGATTCTACAATCCATAAAGGATTAGATTCAGTTAGAAAAACATAACTAGAAACACAAAGTTCACTAATTCGAGCATCGTAAAATACCTTTCTAGGAGGCTCAGAGCAATCTCTGGCATAGTGACCCTTTTTGTCACAATTATAACATTTCACTTTAGCAACTTTGACACATTTAGGACGTTTGTTCTTGCCTTTTTCAGTCTTTGCCCTTTTAGAAGGCTGAGCTTATTGAGCTTGAGGTGGCCCTCTCTTCTTTCCCCAATTCCTTTTCTTTGAATCACTCTTGGTTTTGGAGGTTGTTTCCATGTGCAATTCATCTATTGGCTTTGCACCCTCAAGTCGTTCCTCCTCAAACTCAAGATGCCTCTGGACATCTTTCAGAGTTGTGATTCGCTCATTATGGGTCAAATGCATTTTCATATTATCCCAAGAACTAGGTAAAGAGCGTATAATATCTTGGATTTGTTGTTCATCAGCCATCACATGACCAACATCTTTCAACTCCCCGATCGTATTTGCCATTTGCCTCAGATGTATTTCCATTGAATGTTCTGGGCGTTTCTTATATGAATCAAATTTGATCGATAAGGATCGCAGCCCTTGCAGTGGAACAGGTACCAAACCTTTTCCTCAAAGCATTCCAAAGATCCATAGCTCTTTAGTGATCCTTAAACTCCCTTAGGATGTCATCATCCAACGTGCTCAACAACGTAATGCGAGCAATGGAGTTCTTTTTCTTCCAACTGTCATAGGCTTCACGCTCACACCTACGCTGAGTAGTCTTGCCTTCCTCGGGCTCATTCATGACATTGTTAATGGCCTCCAGAGCCTCTTACTCCCCTAGCACATACTGGACTTTCAAGCTCTAGGTTACATAATTGTTACCATTGAGTTTCAACCCTTTGTTGAGCTTAGCAACAATGTTTTTCGAAGCATTAGTCATTCTTTAACAAAATAAAAATATTATGAGGATTAAAAAAAATAACGCAATGCACTATGTTCAACATACATACATATTATGACACTAAGAATTAATTTATTAAGTTAATAAATACATATATTAATTATGGAGTCGAGAGTTCATTATGTCCCCAATCATCGTCCAAAAATTAAAATATTATGAAAATTAACCTATTCAATTATCTAGCAAAGTGTCTTAATCATGTTTAAGATAACATAATTATCTTCCATGATTTTATAATCCCATGTGGATCATAAGTTAACAAATAACTTATATTAGCATATAAATAAAATTAACGTCAAACTAATTAACATTTATTACATGCTATTCATATTCACATAATATTTATTTTAATGTTAAACTAATTAACATATTAAACATGTTAAACAAATTAACAAGTATTGCTAATATTAAACTAATTAATATTTATATCATGCTCAACAAATTAAGTTAAAGCATGTGTTAAACTAATTAACAAAAGTAATGTTAAAAATAATTAACATTCTATGCATGTTAAACAAATTAAAAAATAAATATAATGTTAAACAAATTAACATTTTAAAGCATGTTAAACAAATTAATAAATAAATTTAATGTTAAAACAAATTAACATTTCAAGCATGTTAAACAAATTAACATAATGTTAAATAAATTAACATTTTAAAGCATGTTAAACAAATTAATAAATAAATTTAATGTTAAAACAAATTAACATTTCAAGCATGTTAAACAAATTAACATAATGTTAAATAAATTAACATTTTAAAGCATGTTAAACAAATTAATAAATAAATTTAATGTTAAACTAATTAACATTTCAAGCAAATCGGATAATTAAACAATTATAGTTTTCATGAAAGAATATAAATACTAAATTTATATTCTGAAAATTAAGTCCATATGACTACTTAAATAATCTGAAATTTATTTAAAAAAAGATAAAATCTGTTGTAGATTTTAATTTAGGCCATTAACCCTATTAACATTATAGAAGACATACTGGGCCTTTAGCCCATAAAAATTCAACCAATTTTGAATGGGCCTTTAGCCCATTTTCTTTAAAATCTGTCCTCCATAGGAAGAAGCTAAATTTGTTTTTTAAATATTAGATAGAAGCTCATGACCTAGATTTTCTTTTCATCTCTTAGCCGTCACTCCCATTGAAGCATAGCTTTATTTTTGGTTGAAAAAGAAGGCTCCCCCTTTTCAAAAAAACTAATCTTTGCCATAGTAATGGAACACGAAGTTTCATGTTTTTCTCATTCTTTCTATATATTTATATAGGAAGAGAAAACTTTATTTTCTTCTTCCTTGTCTAGCCGTTGCAGTTTCGTGGAAGAAGAAGAAGCAAATTCTTCTATTCTATTCTTTGTCATGGCTACTAGAGTACTAACACCAATTTTAATTCGATTATCAGTGAAAAGGGGAGAAAGTTTTCTTCTCTTAATTTCTTTTTCTAGTTTGGCAGTAGATTCTAAAAGCAGCCACCGTCAGGCAACGATGGTTTTCGACGGCAACAGAGGATAGGGCTGCTAATTTTAATTTTTTTTAATCATCTTCAATAATAGTCGAATTATAAACCGATTCTTAACTTAATTTAAGTCAGTGTTTAATGAAACTTGAATTATAATACCCAATGGAGAATATCCGAAAACTAATTTCTATTTAACAGATAAAATAATTATCTTGTTGAGATTAAACATATTAATTGTCTAATAGCGCAGAAAAATACAGATAGTTCAACATTCACATACAAAATCAAAACTATTCTATATTTTATTCCGGACCAGAAAACCAGCCTATGGCTCTGATACCCAATGTTGGAACACTACACATTAAACACATTAGATAGCGCGTAAATCGTAAAATGAGAACTTACTTGTTCTTCGTGAAGCGGAAGCGGGAGCCTGAAACGCACTGCGGCTGGAATCACTGATCGGTGGTGGTTATCACTCAACCCTCTATATCACAGTCTAAACCCTAGTCTGATTTTAGGAGAAGACTAGGCGTGAAAAATACTGCTCAAAGTATCTTTTTTATTGTACACAAACTATACTTATATAGGAAATACCAGGGTTCACTAATAACTCTGTTGGGCCTTAAAGTACCCCTTATGGGCAGATCCAAAATTTCCTACAGTCCTTATTGTGATAGCACCACATTTTAATAAATTTCATTTTGGCACATATCTGGTATTCAACTACCAAAAAAAAGAATAAGCAAGTAAACATTATAAAAGTGCTAACCTTCACCATAGAAAATAAAAATAAAAAAATCTCTGGTGAAAAACCACACTATCAAGTATTATATCTTAGTTTGGTAAATGTAGTATTATAGGCTTAAAAAATTTGTACTTCAAACAACCAAAGGATGGAGCGCTAAAACGTTTGGTAAATGTGTTGCACGTTCTCTTATATTTCTTATTAAGTTTTTTTTTTTGTTAAAATTTGAACGGTTTTAATACTTATTAAAAACAGAAGGATGGATCGCTGCATCTCAGCTTTATTGAGCTTGAAAATGTCAAGAGTAGGCTGCCTGCTCTTTTTAGGTATCTGAAAGCATCTTAACAATCATTTGTGTATCCATAGAGAGTTTACATTGCTAACATTTATGCGTTTCGATATCCTTTTGCGTTTAGAAGAGGAGGATCAATTGTCAAATCCGATAAGGAACTCAATCTAACACTTCAAGATGTTTCATGAGTTTACTATTAATGCATAGAATAATACTCAAAAGAAGCAGCTCCAACTGAGGATTCATCATACTTATTCTCATCAACCCGAAATAAATTGTAATCATTGTACTTTTAGCTTTCTTGAATGAATTCATGTAATAGTTGTGGTAATTAGTGTAGTATTATGTAAGGGTGTCTAAACAATAGCTAATCAACTGATTTTAATTTAAGTTGTCACAATATATAACCACCAAATTGAATATTAGAAAAATCCTATTCTACTTCTAAGAAACTTATATTGGTGAAAAACGTTCCTCAAATGTATTCCTCTAAGTGTTTATCTCCAACTGTCAAATATGTTTCGTGGAGGATAAATTATGACTGAGAAACAATGATGGAAAAAATTTCCTCTCACAAAACTAATTATTTCCTTTCTATGCATAACTATATATAGTCACAAGTCACAACACTTCTTCTATGCCTTTATGTTATGTCAGAGTTCGATAAACATATGCATTTTGTTGTTTCACATCCATTATCTCCTAGATTGTCGTTTTTATTTTGAGTAGTTGTTGAATTGTTGGAGGCAATATATCAAATAGGTGAAGACAAATCAACAACCACATGGATTATGTGTAGAATAAAGGTCTAGTGAAAATTACACAATGAACTATTCTTTGAAGATTTGAATCGAGAAAAAATAAACATCATCATTGACAAACTTAAACATAGTCTAATTCCAGTGATAAGTAGTATTAAGAGAACCATTGATACTATTCTTGACTTGCATAAACTAAAAGTACTATAATGTGTTCTAAAATATTACACGAGGAATCCACTCATGTTTTTTCTTTTTTGGTTCTTTTTCCTAATTGAAAGAAAAATTCCCAAGGTCTCTTCGAGACATCCAATTTAAAAAAGAAGGAAAAACTCTTAAGAACATGAAAGTGTCACGACCCAAAATCCAACTAGTCGTGATGGTACCTAACCCAACCCGCTAGATAAGCCAGTTAACTACTAACCAATTTCAATAACAATTAATAAAGCAATTAAGTAAAGAAATTATCTGAATCTTATACGTTCCCCAAGAACTGGTAGTACAAATCATGAGCATCCAAGAATAGAGTTTACAAAGCTGAAATGAAATAAATACATCGTCTGTTTGAAAGGTGTATAAACAGAATTATTTTTATATATCTAAGGCTACCACGAACAAGAGGCAGCTACATGAGGGATGCAAGGACATCTTCAAATCCAGCTCTCATCGAATACAACAACATCAACAGTCAATATCTGCACGCAAGGTGCAGAAGTGTAGTATGAGTACAACTAACCCCATGTACTCAATAAGTAACAAACCTAACCTTAGGTTGAAAGTAGTGATGAGCTAACAAAAAGGTCGGGTCCAACACCAATATTCCACAACAGTTCATAACAGCATAGTACAATAACAAAAGATTATCTCAGAAATAAAAGGCTCAGTTCATTCACAGTTCCAGAAAAATAGGCATTTCTTTTTTAAGTATCTAAGTGAAAACCCAAGTCTTTTACCGAAAAAGCCAAAGTACGAGTAAGTTTGAAAACCGTAGTTTTTTCCAAAACTCCTTTCAATAAACAGTAAGATGTTTCATTTTCAGATAGCATGAGGAAAATACTTCTATACGCCTACATGTCAAGATACAGGTAAAATCATAAATGTCCCCAAAACCGGGTAGCAGAAGGAAATGCATCTCTATGCATGTATCTCGAGTACGCATGTCAAATGCAATGCATCTCAATGATGAGCTCATGTACTCACACTCTCAGAGTACTCAATCTCACTGTCTCAGATTCTCTTTCACTATGCTCATTGCTCAGCACACTCAATGACTCAGCGCTGTACAATACCTGCTGCGGCGTGCAACCCGACCCATATATAACCATAAGGTCCGTTGCGGCATGTAACCCAATCCACATATATATAATCCACTACGCTCACTGGGGGTGTGCAGACTCTGGAGGGGCTCTTTCAGCCCAAGCGTTATATCGTTGCGGCGTGCAGCCCGATCCCATAATATATAAATAGCTATAAGGTTCGTTGCGGCGTGCAACCCGATCTCTCTCTCTCTCTCTCTCTCTCTCTCTCTCTCTCTCTCCATATACATATAGCCCTCAGGTTCGTTGCGGCGTGCAACCCGATCCATATACATACCTATAGCTCACAGTTCAGCACGCAGGCCCTAACTCAGTCACCAACCTCTCCAGTCTCTGGGGCTCTCAGAAATCATAAAGATGGGCCCAAACAAAATAACATAGTGTATCAACAAGAATCAAGAAGAGACTGAGATATTGTCACGACCCAAATACCTAACCAGTCGTGATGGCACCTATTGTGGAACTAGGCAAGACGACATTCTCAATATGCTTTCAATATATAACAAAAGTGAGCTAAAGCAATTAAACTAACTGAAGGTTTACATAATAACGTGGTAAAAACCCAAAATACAAGTGCGGAATGATAGCCCGACATCGGGGTGTCACTAAGTCATGAGCATTTAATAACCAATCTAGAAACAGAGTCTACTACAGTCTATGCCAAATGCCAATACAAGAGAGAAAAGATAATAAGAAAGGAGAAACAAGGACTGCGGATGCCGGCAACTACCTCGTAAGTCTTCGATAATCAGCTCGCGCATGAACTCAGCAACCGCCAGAACCGTACACACCTGGATCTGCACATAAAGTACAGGGTGTAGCATGAGTACAACCAACTCAGCAAGTAACAGAATTAAATAAGGAACTGAGAAGCAGTGACGAACTATAATAATACAGATCATTTCAAAAGTTTTTAGTAAAGAGTAAACAAGCTTTCAAATCCGGTGGTATAAGTCAAATCAGTTCGAGCTCAAGTAAAATGGATATGAATCTTCCAGAAATTTCATAACAACAATAGATAACAACTAAGTGCAACAATAAATAAAAGAAAGTACAGCCTCTTAAGGCAGCAGTCACTCAACTCATCTCAACAGCTCATACTCTCGGCTCTTAACCCTCAATACACATTCTCAATAGGTACCTGCATTCACTGGGGGGGGGNTGCAACCCGATCCAATATTGTTGTGTCGTGCAACCCGATCCAATAATGTATATATATAGCCTGAAGGCTTGTTGCGGCGTGCAACCCGATCCATATACCTCACAGCTCGCAGCTCGGTACTTAGGCCTTATCTCAGTCATTAACCTATCCAGCCCCTCGGGCTCACAGAATATCATAATAATTAGCCCAAAGAGAGAATCAACAAGTATCAATAAGAAATGAGAGGGAACGGAGATATAACACACAAGTATGACTGTGACTGAGTACAAGACAACAATTAGCAGTCAATTCAACAAGTATTCGACCGCTGCGGGTCCCAACAGTGATATCATATGGCATAAGCATGGTTTCTAACATGAAAGACAGTCAATTGCTCAAAGACAAAGAAAAACAAGTAATAATAATGGCTATTCGACTTTACAGTCTCACGGGACGGACCAAGTCACAATCCCTCATGGTGCACGCTCACACGCCCGTCACCTAGCATGTGTGGTACCTCCAAATATTCACACCATACCAATTCTCGGGGTTTCATACCCTTAAAACCAGATTTAAGACTGTTACTTACCTCAACCGCGCAGAAATCCTACTCTGAAATGCCTTTGCCTCTCGAATCGGCCACCAAATGCCCCGAATCTAGCCACAACAGTACGAGATAATCAATATTGCCCTTAAGGATCAATTCCACAAGAAAACTACTAAAAATATAGTCTAAAATCCGAATTCGGCTAAACCCGCCCCCGGACCCACGTATCGAAACCCGGCGAAAGTCATAAAACCCGAAAGCCAATTCACTCACGAGTCTAACCATACCAAATTCATCAAAATCCGACCTCAATTGCCCCTCCAATACCCCAAAATTCACTCTCTAATTCCCAAGCCCTAATCTCCCAAATCTCACCTCAAACACTCACCAACTAGGTGTAAAATTAGTGGGAAAACACCATTATTGAAGATAAATAGGCACAAGGAACTTACCTCAGTGATTATTCCGAAATCTCTCTCACAATCCCCAAAATTCGAGCTCAAAAATGATGCAAATGGTGAAAAATCTCGAAGTGTTCTATTTATAGGTTCTGCCCAAACTTCTCGCACCTGGGGCTCCATTTCCGCATCTGCGGAGCCGCATCTGCGGGCAAGGCCCCGTTTCTGCAGAAAAGTCCCTAAACACTGCCTCCATTCCTCCGATCAAGTGAACGTATCTGCGCTCTTTGCGGGTGCGGGACCTACATCGCACCTGCGGTCCAAACTCGCACATGCACC